GTGTTGCACATATAATAGTATTTTAAATTACTATATTTAGTATTAAATATAGTATTAGTAATATTAAATTAACATAATAGTGATTTTACAAAAATAATTTTGATATATAGACGTGGTTATGAAGTAGTTAATATTTTAATGTATTTTCAAAACTAAATTTTGCTAAGACTTAAAGTTACTTTAATACTAAAGCTAGCTAAGAATTGCTGCAATAATTGTGATATTATAGATATCAAAACCCGTCAAATACATCAAAAAGTAACAAACAACCAAAACGAAAATAACCGCGCCTAACCAGGAAGGTGACAGTGCAGCCGCCTTTAAAGTTTGCAAACCAATATTAAAAAAATGTTTAAATGTGTATAATTGCTTATAAATATACTTTTAGCTAATGCAATAAAAACAATATTATTTTTTTCCCCCTGTTGTCCCTTATTAGATTTCTGAAAACCAAACTCCAAGAGGATTGTGCTTAGTTTCTCACAAGCAGGGATGTTTTTTTAGCTGGAGTTGCGCAGCGGAGCTGGAGGAAGCAGCTGATCTTTCCACCACACCTCGGCAGAGCTGCCCACGTTTTTGGGTCACTGCCATCAAATTGAATAAACAGCAGCACCAACGTTCCTGGCTGTGGATTGGGAAATAACGGAGGTGTGATCACGGATGGTTTTTCTCAGGGAATTCTTCCCCTGTTCCTGTGCTCAGAAGAGTCCAGAACAACCCTGAGCTTCTTGTGCTYCTCCCTTGTTGTACCTTAAAGTGTATTTTACAGCTAAAAGGGGTTGATTTGTGGGTGAGCAGACCTGGGACAATTTGGGCAAAGTTTCTAAATGAAGAAATACTAGCAGTTTTGAAATTTGGTGCCGCAGTTTGAGATTGTTTTGCTCTTGAGGTTGTTTTCCAACGCACTGGAGAGAAGCTGATTGGACTGAACTTGGCCAAAGCCCTGATTAGGGATATCAGAYACTTTCAGGGAGCAGGAACCTGTCCCACAGTTCACAGTCCAGGGTCAGGGATGACGTTCAACGCTGTCTTGGGAAGTTTTGGAGATAATTACACCTGATCCTGAGCCCTGGCTAACTGTAACTCACCATGGCCTCACACCGTTCCCACCTACTTGAAGTCTCACCATAGGAAAAACATAATTGAAAAATGCAAAATGTTTTTTGTACTTTGAAAATAGGAGTCTCAAAGGCCAGTGTCTGTCTCTCAGAGCTTCATCTAACAAATTCAAAAGAAAATTCGAAAATTACGTGGGGAGTAACACAGAAATCGCTGAGAATTCCCGAAATAAGAAAGCGAAGTGTTTTCAACCAAATAAAAGTCAGAATCTCCCCAGTGACGCCACTGGAAATTGTTGTCAGGCTGTGAAGGATCAAAAAGATATGAAAAGATGGCATACCATCTGTCATAACTCGATGAAATCTCGTCCTAGATTAACCCTGGCCCAAATCAGTTTCMAAATAACCCCACGTGCCTGCACGTTGTTCAGGCAGTCACCGGAGCAATATTTGGGTTTCTTGCAAAAGCACAGCTTCCCTTCAGCCTGTGGGAAGGAGGCAGAGCAGGGTTCAGCAMTGYCCCAGGGTGGGCACAGCCCGGGGCTGGCCCTGTGCCCCTCTCCACACCTCAATAACTCAATCACTCTGCCTTGGCTGTGTGACAGCGGAGAGCAATGGCTCAGCCAGCACGGGGACACTGCCAGACCCTGAGCGGGATGTGACACAGCCMTGGTGGCCTCGTGTGACACGCTCAGATGAGCACATCTGGGAGGAAATGGAACGAGAGGCTGAGTGAGCAACACCCTCCCCACGTGCACTGAGGAGCTGAGGCTGCTGTGGTCACCAAAGGGTGGTGAAGGCTTTGCATGTGCTCTGTGCTCCGAGAGAGGGGTTGAATTTGTCACCAGGGGCTGAGAGATGAAGGACATTGAAGTTGGAGCCAAGCCAGAGCAGGCTCCAGGATGGTCAGAGGGATGGAGCAGCTCTGCTGGGAGGGAAGGCTGGGAGAGCTGGGATTGTTCAGCCTGGACAGGAGAAGCTCTGGGGTGACCTCACTGTGGCCTTGCAGGGCCTGAAGGGGCTGACAGGAAAGATGGAGAGAGACTGGGACAAGGGATGGAGGGACAGGACACAGGGAATGGGGTCACACTGCCAGAGGGCAGGGCCAGATGGGATATTGGGAATTGGGAATTGTTCCCTGGGAGGGTGGGCAGGCCCTGGCACAGGGTGCCCAGAGAAGCTGTGGCTGCCCCTGGATCCCTGGCAGTGCCCAAGGCCAGGCTGGACATTGGGGCTGGGAGCAGCCTGGGACAGTGGGAGGTGTCCCTGCCATGGCAGGGGTGGCACTGGATGGGCTTTGAAGTCCCTTCCAACCCAAACCCTCTTTGTTTTTGTGATTCTGTGATTCTGTGATTCTCTGCAATCACACAGACCTGTCTGAAGATGTTTGCTTTCCCTGACAGACCTGAGCCACACAAGGGCTCCAATCCTGCCACAATCAGTGTGGCTTTGCCGTGGAATTCAATCCAAGTATCGATCAAGGCGATCCCAGGAGACAGAATTTCACAATATTTCACAAGCATAAATCAATTTGCTTCCACAACACAGCCCTTCATCCATTGTTGATCCTTTAAGGGCAGATGGGAAGCGAGTACCAGAACCTGATTTAGCCAGAGCTTCACCAAAATGCTCTGTCATGGGAGAATGAAGGTAATGCATTCCAAACTGAATAATTGCAAGTAGATAATTGCAAGATAGATAATTGCAAGATAATTGCAAGATAATTGCAGAAGAGGCGGGTACTTCATAACCTCGACAGAAAGAATAAACTCCACAATTTCTATGACTTTTCAGAAGTTACAAGCTGAGGCTTCTAAACTAAACTTAAATAAATGGCTAGTTTTGTTTGGTTTAATGCCCTTAGGGGTCTCTTCCAGCCTTACAGATCCAGTGGTCCTGATTTCCTGCCGGGCAAACGTCTCACGAGCACCTTTGGGTGTTGATGTGCCGAGGTGAGAAGGTCACCCTGCATTTGCATCGCTATCCGAGGCACCAACACCCTGCGAGGTGCCGCTCCAGGGCACAGCCCCGAAGCTAATCGCACCGAGAATGTCATTACAAATGTCCTAAGTGAGGAGCTAATCACCGGCAATGCCGGCAGATCCTATCCGACCTGTAGCCTCGACATTCCCCGAGCCCGTCCTGGTCACCTCTGCGGTCAGCTCCCCCTGTGAAGGGAGGGCATGAACAGCTTTAGGGGTGATAACTCGTGCTGAGACTGTGCTGTACCCACGGAATCCCGAAATGGTTTGGGTTAGAAGCCACTCATTCCATAACCACTCATAATTCCACCCCTCCCACTGTCCCAGGCTGCTCCCAGCCCCAATGTCCAGCCTGGCCTTGGGCACTGCCAGGGATCCAGGGGCAGCCACAGCTTCTCTGGGCACCCTGTGCCAGGGCCTGCCCACCCTCACAGGGAACAATTTCTCCAGAGGTTTAACAGTGCAACCACACAGAGCCCAGTGGACCCTTTCCAATTTTATTATTACYATTATTAATATTATTGTATTATTAATATTATTTGTACATTTTAAAGCGGACCTTATCCTTTGCCCTGCTTGCTCCCAGATATATTTTATGAAGATGATCATGCAAACAGGCAAATTCACAATTCCTCCCCTGATCAAGGTGTTTTCAATAATTTAATCCAGAAGCTGGAAACAGATTTGGACGCGTTACTGCCTTCCACCACGCTCTTCTTCTGTCTSCCACAAAAGCATTCCCTGAGTTGCAGCACAAGGTGGCCCTTCCAGCTGGGTTTGTGCTTGAGAATTGCTGAAAGTGGTGCAAAAGAATTGCTGAAAGTGGTGTTTCCTGGCACAACTTGCTGTAAACTCTTCTRTGTACAAGCAAGGTTACCCAAATCAGCAGGAATCTGAGAAGGATGTTCCCTAAATTAGTAAAACAGGTAGTTCTCATGGAAAAAAACTATGGCCACTCTTCATGATTGCCTGGCAGGAAGTTGTCAGCTCCTTCCAGCTGTGCATGAAGGCAGTGAAGGTCAGGATTTGGGGATTCTTGGCCTGGAAGCGTTGCCAGAGGGGAATAAAGCTGCACCAGCAGGATCCATCCACGGCGGGGTTTCATCCCGGCAGAGCTGCTTCCATGTGACACTGGAGGGCACAGAGCTGCTGCCCAGCTGTTTGCAGCTGGAACCCAAGTGCAAGGATCCAACAGGGGCCAAATTCCTCTGAAATTGGCTGTGGCTGGACGCCTGTGTGAGAGAGGCACTGGGACACTCAGGGTGTGAGGGCCATGCTCAGCTTCTGCAAGGACCTGAGCCTGTTGACCCTAAATCCAGAGTGCTTTCCCAATCATTGGATTGGCTTGTTTTCCTCACTGGCCCCAGTGATATCAATCCAAACCAAGTGGAGCTGTTTATTGAGCTTTCCCCTCCTCTTTCTTTCTTCATTTTTYCCCACCCCCAAATGAAAGAAGCCCCAGAAGTCATTGAGCAGCCGACAATTCCCGCTGCCTCTGCMGCTCTAGGCGCTCTTCTCCATCAGGTCCAGCATTTCTTTGTACACCTGCTCGTAGACCTGCTTGCCCCAGAGGAAATCAAAGTGGACAAATTCGGGGATGTATTTCTTGTAGGCCACGTTGGAGATGCGGGGCAGGGTGATGTTGACGTCCTCGGGGGCTGAGATCCARTCCTTGCCCCCGTACCAGGCGGCCAGCGGGGTTTGCATCTTCTCCAGCTCGTAGAAGGGAGGGGTGGTCTGGAAGACAAGAGGGAGGTCACTTTTGAATTGTGAAAATTCAAAGTGGATCCTGATTGCTGCTTGGAATTTGTCCCTAATCCCAAGGRATGGCAGAGGAACTGTCACCAGGAAGCTTCACTGTGCTCTGGGATCCTGTGCTTTTCACCAGAACGTGGAAAAGTCATCGCTGAGTGACTTTTTTCATGGGAAAGTTACAAACCTGCTTCCCCATATAARCTCCATAAATAACATAAAACAAGTAAATTCCATAAATACCCTGTAACTCACAGAATCATGGAATGGTTCAGGCTGGAATGGACCTCGAAGATCATCTCTTTCCAGCCCTCCTGCCATGGGCAGAGACACCTSCTGCTAGCTCTGCTCTATTCTCCAAATTCAGTCTCAACCGCTGCAATATTTTCATACRATATTTTCATTTTTCTCTTTTAAAAGCAAAAAATGAGAACGGCTCACTCTTACCTGGTTGTAGTGAAGCACATTGTCACTGCCATAATCATAATATTTGAATTCCCCTGTCTGGTAGAGCTGGAAAAGGAGGAGAGCTCTGTTTATTATCTGTGCTTTGGAGGGGTCTGGGGAGAAGGACAGAAGAGGTGACAGGGAGTGGCACTGCTCCCTCCTGCCACCAAGGCTCGTGGAAGTGATTTTTTACATCTGGTACTGGATTTTGGGAGAAGAGCTCAGCCCCAGGAAGACCAGCACAGAAACCCATGGGGGAAAGCCTGGAGTARAACCAAGAGTCTCCAAGGAGGTACGGATCAGACCTTTGGGCAGGGCTTTTGTCTGTCACAGTGAATGCCACCAGCAGAAGGAGGTGAGTTGAATCTTTTCAGTAATTAGTTGCATCATTAATGGTCTGACTGACCAACTCTGGCACCYCCTGTCCTGCTTCATCACCAATCTTTGTTCTGCCTCTACCTCCTACCAGCTCCAGGGAATCTCAGACACCTTTTGTTGGGATAAACAACTCCATCCACACCAGGGTTTTGGGCAGCTTTCCTCTCTCTCYYTCACCCYGCTATGCAGGGGAGMACTGGGGGRTTATTCCCAGCCCCTGAACATGGARAGKAGAATGGGAATTGTTACCTGGCGCCAGTGCAGCATGTTCTTCAGGGATGTGGAGTCAGGGTAGCGGGCCAGGTAGACATCSACGCGGCTCTGCAAGAAACCATCAGAGAGGTTTAATTTCTGCCAAAAAGGAATCCTGTCAGGGATAAAACTCATCCCTGAGCTCCCTGGGCCAAGCTGAGCAATTCCTGTGGGATGCTGGGCCATGTTTGGAGCCTGGCTGGTCTCCAAGGCAGAGTAAGGCTCCGTACTTCGTGCTCAAGATGCAAAGACAAAGCTCAGCTCACGGCAGTAGCTCTGTGTGCTGCTCCCAATGTTTTCTCCTTGGAATATTAAGCAATTCTCAGGTTTTCCCTGAGAAACCCCCACCCTGGTGCCTCCAGCCCGGGTTTTTCCAATGCTCAAAGATGTGAAAGGCAGCAGATGGACAGCCTGGGCAGGGGCAGTGAGAACCCAGCTCTCTGGAGAGGGGAGCTGCGGGGTACATACCACGTTCAAGCTGTTGGTGAACCCGCCGGGCAGGTACAACACAAACGTGCACAGGCTTTTCAAGATGGGGTAGACACACATCCTGGAAATCACTTGCTTCAAGACCTCATCCTTGTCAAAGACCACTCTGTGTCCCAAAATGAGCTGTGGAAGTCAGAGAGGTGGATCAGTGCCTCCCCACCTCCTTGCTCACCCCTGAAAGCTGAGGACAGCTTTGCTGTGTTTTGTCATTTTGGCTTTTCAGAAGAGCCCTGACCTTCTTAGGAGAGGTTTCTCCTGGGAGGAGGGACCCAAAGCCAATATCCAGGACTAGTTCTGTGATTAAGGCTGGATTTCCATGCCCTGCAGGCTCAGGGGCAGGGAGATGGAGGTGAGGCACAAGCAGTGTCTCAGGTGACCTGCCCAGCCCCTCCTCCCCCTCACACCTCACCCGTGGTGAGCTCATACCTTAATCAGCACCTCGGGAAGGTCAAACACCCTGACCAGGGGTGACTTCATGTGTGAGTTCACAGTGATAGGAGCCAAGGCAAAAAACATCTTGATTTTGCGATCCAGCTCGGGCAGGGATGAGAAGGCGATGAAACCTGAGCGAGGGAGAAGGAAGCAGAGCCTGAGAAGGAAGGAGCTGTTGTGTGTGCTGTGTGTCCGTGGGATGAACCCTCCCAGGCTGCTCTGGTGGGTTGGGCTCTGGCTGCAATGGGATGAGTTTGGGGTTGGGGTTTGGGGTTTGGGGCTGCCGCCACTCCAAACTGTTCTCTCAGAGCAATTCYGTGCTCTTCCCCCTTAGGCTGTTTGGAAGTGCCTGGACATCGCCCTCCCTGAGCGAGGTTTTGGGAACACTCCCAGGCCAGGGGGCACAGCTGGTGTGGCTCTGCCAGCTCTGTTCTCAGTACCTGTGGTGGTGCCTTGGGAATAGGCCACGTAGTAGAGCTGCTCCTGCCCTGTCTTCTGCAGGATGTAGTTGATGGTCGCTGGAAGGTCGTACATGGCCATCTCATGGAAGCTGCAGTGGAGACAGGCACGGGACAAAATCTGACCTTGCCGTGGCTACTTGGGAGTGGACACCCCTCCTCCAGATCGTGGACAGCACTGAGGGTACCAGGGGCCTGCCCACACTCCAGTTTSACAGAAAATACCTGTAAGCTGAGTATTCCTGCTGGTAGAACTCGAACTCCTTGTGTTTCCGTGACCAGCTGTTCCCCCGGCTGTTGCCGATCCAGACGTCGTAGCCGGCGTCAGCCAGGATGAAGCCCAGGCTGCTGTTGGGCAGATTGGTGACCCAGTTGCTTCCCTCCAGCACCAGGCCATGCTGCAGGAGRACCACGGCCTTTGGAGCTGGAGGAGGAAGAGGAGGAATCATTTCCTCTGACTGCCGGCAAAACTGGTCATTCTCATGCAGATGCTGCTTTGGCAGCMACCCACAGGAAGTGACAGCAGCACAGGGACATTGTCACCTCTGTCCTCAGCACCTCTGGGGAGGTGATTTTCCTGGGTCACCCYGGGGCAGAGACTGGAAATTCTTTTACACTTATTTGCTATGTTCATGTGCCAGTTCTGCTTCCCAGGGCAGGGACACRCTGGTGAGAACAGGGCAAGAACCTCACCATTGGTTTGAAATAGGGGTTTGAGTGAAGAACAGGAAGGTCCCAAAGTGGTGAGGTGGCATTGGGCCGGACACAGAAAGGATCCAAAGTGGTGAGATGGGGCTGGATTGGGCACAGAAAGGATCCAAAGTGGTGAGATGGTGTTGGATTGGGCACAGAAAGGATCCAAAGTGGTGAGATGGTGTTGGATTGGGCACAGGAAGGATCCAAAGTGGTGAGATGGTGTTGGATTGGGCACAGAAAGGATCCAAAGTGGTGAGATGGTGTTGGATTGGGCACAGAAAGGATCCAAAGTGGTGAGATGGTGTTGGATTGGGCACAGGAAGGATCCAAAGTGGTGAGATGGTGTTGGATTGGGCACAGAAAGGATCCAAAGTGGTGAGATGGTGTTGGATTGGGCACAGGAAGGCTTCAAAATGGTGAGATGGTGTGGAATTTGGCACAGGAGGATTCAAAATGGTGAGATGGCACTGGACAGGACACCTGGCTTGGTTTCCTTTCCTGGCAAATGTGTTTTTGCTGCTGCACTGTCTGGTTTTGAGCTGAGGTRAAAGCTGGGGCAGGATTTCTCTGCCCCATTATTCTTCCTCTTTTAAGCAGATCCTCCCAGAAYGAGGTGGGCATCTGCATTTCTCCTGCTCCCAAGGCTGTTTCCCTGATTTTTCCTACGGGGAAATCTGCCTTCTGGAGGACCCTGCCCATGGTGAGGGTGGCCCAATCCAGCCCAACAAAGCTCTCAGGGTGGCACTCTGGGCATTCCAGCGCAGAGCTCCCCGTGGCACTTACGGGGACAGAACATGCTGGATGCCTGTGGCCCAGCTTGGTGGGAAATGCTGAAGCTCTCGGGGTTGTCTCTGCGGTGGGGAATCCTCTGCAGGGTGAGGAAATAGCCATCATCTGTCTCCACCTCGTGCTCCTCGTAGGGGTACCCGTGGTGCCGGACAATCTCTCCCTGTGGGAAGGGAAGGACAGCATGGGACAGGTCCCCAGAGTGCAGATCTCTGTCCCAAACAGTGGCAGGGCTTGGCTGGGCAAAGCCATCGGTGATGTCACGACTGCAGCGAGAATTTTGGGCAGGTCCCTGGGCAGGTCTGGTGAAGAACTGTCACTTTCTGTGTTGCAATCAAGAGCAGGGCAGCGCAGGCAGCCAAGCTCTGAGCCCAAGACAGCTGTCCTGACCCAACCTGCTGGCTTGGAATGGAGCTCCCAGAAACATCTGCCATAAATCTTTGTGTGTGTAAGAGCAGGGAGACAAATCTCCAATAAAATCCTGGTGTCAGCCCTCGGTGAAGACACSCAGAGCCCGTGGGTCTTGCACAGATCATGACAGCATGGGTACCTTGCACAAGAAGGAGAAGGAGTGACTTACAACATCCATGGACACCTCGGGGTTTGCTCCCGACCTTTCAGCGATGCAYATTAAACAAGCAACGGTGAGGAACAGCCACGTCATGGTGCTCTGCAAAATATCGTCATGAAGAGCATGAGAGACTTCAGTGGCACAGACACAGACGCTGGGGAGATCTCTTGACGTGCCCTGCACTTCCATCAGTGTTTTAAGCTGAYCCCTCAGCAAGTGAAATCATTTTAAACTCGAAATTCTCYAAGTGGTTCTGAAAATTAKTTGTTTTGTTAACCTTGAAGAAAGYCAGAGTMCAAATTCCACCACATTTTAATTCCATGTTCTCCATCAGGCCCTCGCATTCAGAAGCCTACACAGCTGTGTGCCCAGCCAAACCTGGTTTTCTAGGGGGGTGATTATGGATTATTCATTTAAGATGTCTCAGGGTAGCTGGAAGAACAGATTGCTTTGTTCCTCTGATAGCAGAGCTAATGAGGAGTAAATCATTAGTTTAATATCAATTTTAAGTTGCAGGGTCACATTCTAAAGATGAAATCAATACATGTGGTTTGTCTGGGTTCTCCTTACGGCTGAGAGAGACCCCAGACACTCCTGGCTTGTTTTCTCAAACTCGAATGAAATACCATCCAGGAGACCCCTGTTCCTCCTGGGAAGGGTTTTGAAGTGTCTGCTYTGCCTTGTTCCTACCACAAAACATCTCACAGCCATTTTATTCCATAGAAACACAGAATCACAGAATGCTTCGGGGGAAAGGAACCTTAAAGATCATCTCGTTCTGCCACGGGCAGACCCCTGCTCTACAGGAACGGGTAAATTTGCTGGGGACAACAAATTGGCAGCAGAAACGCTGCCTCAGCTGCTCAGAGCAGTTGGATTGTGTGAAGCAATTCAGCAGGGAGCTGCCAAATCCCCACTGACTGCCATTGCCAGGCTTCCCTGGCCAAAGAGAGGAGAACTGGGAGCGGGTTTCTGTCACCTCCCGGCTGCCCTCGTCCCTCCGGCGGGAGGATCCGGCTCCCCGTGCCGCAGGAGGTGGCTTGAGAGCCGGGGAGAAAAGCCASCTGCTCCCTCTGCTGTTCCCGGAGCGGATCCCAGAGGAGATCAGCGCACCTGGGCACAGCCCGGCCCGTGTGCGCCCTCCCGGTGTTCAGGGACCCCATCTCCCGGGGCAGGGTCCCCATCGTCACCCTGAGACCCCCGGGGTGCGATCTGGGGATAARACCCCTCCTTGCACCGCCTCTCGCCCGGCCCCACGAGGCTCTGGATTCGTTATTTTAGGACCGAGCCTTCAGCAAAGTCAAGGAGAGACATAACGCGTTTTTCTGGTGCAGCGTCAGGAGAACGGCATGCACATTCCAGGGAAGAGCTTTGCCTGGGATTGCTCTTTCCTCTCAACAACCAGCTTGGAAAAATATACAATTCCCACAAATTTCCCACAAAGGGGGCACGTCCTTTGGTTCAGCAGACCCAGAGAACCCCTGGTGGCCGCAGGGTGACACCTCTTCCACCAGCAGCGCGGTCCTGACCCCTCTGCAAACACTCCCACGGCCCCTCCCTGAGCAGAGCCATTCCTCTGGAGCCAGGGCTGACGGGGAAGCCCTGCTGTCCCACCCCGGGGCTCTCCAAGCCCCCACAGCTCTGTCCCGCTGTACCCGGGAGGGGGAATTACCCGGCGTGGTGCGGGGGCTGCAGCAGAAGCGGTGCGGGAGCCTTTGTCCCCGGTGTCCCCCGAGCAGACGGTCCCTGCTGCCTGCCCAGAGCGCTCTCATCGGGCTGTTATTCCCTCTGCTCCGCGGATTCGGGAGCGTCACGGCCGCCACTCCCTCTAATCCCTCCTCCTGTGGATGTGTAATTCACCTGAGGCTGGAGTCTGCTCCTGCGGGAGACACCCTTCCCACCTTGGGAATGTTCTGGTGGCACTGCGAGAGCTGGGAGCTGTCACAAATCGCTTATTTCCACCTGATGGAGGAGTCGTTCGGCATCGCTCTGTGAGCTGGAGGATGTGCAGCCTCTGGACTCTGCACCTGCCCTGCGACGGGTGTTGGTGCAAGGGACAATGATGGTGCAAGGGACAATGATGGTGCAAGGGACAATGCTGGTGCAAGGGCCGGTGTTGGTGCAAGGGACAATGCTGGTGCAAGGGCCGGTGTTGGTGCAAGGGACAATGCTGGTGCAAGGGCCAGTGTTGGTGCAAGGGACGGTGTTGGTGCGAGGACCAGTGCTGGTGCAAGGGTCAATGCTGGTGCAAGGGCCAGTGCTCAGGGTGCTGTGGGGTGCGTGGGACCAGCCCAGCCCACCCCAGCAAACCCCACCCAGCTCCTTTGGGCTCTCCCTGCAGCATGGAATGAGCCCGACAATGCCCCGTCCCCATTATGACTTCAGGGGCCGGTGCTCGATAAAAATATGAAAAATAAGTCTGTCCCCGGGGAGGGAGGAAGCTGTGAATGGAGACTTCACATCTTGCCAGGCTCCCCTCTTCCCAGTGGCCATGCCTTTGATGCCTGAGGAGGTCMCTGCAGGGACGGTGAGGGGTGACACGGGCTGCGGCTGTCACCTTTGTCACCCGCCWGGCCTGCTCCAGCCACGCTCGCTCAAATTGCCAACACGCTTTGGAAAGCCTGAACAGCCCCACCTCTGTCTGGAGATGTAATGACTGTTCTGGAGCAAGGACTGCCTGCAGGCAGTGCCACAAGCCCTACCAGTCGGCTCACCCTCGAATGARCAGAGCAGAATCCGATTTTTCCCCCGCAGGGAGAGGAGGGAAGGTGGAAAAACAGGATCAGATATGCWCAGACAAGGGAAAAAACCACTCCCCTTTCCTCCCAGCAACCATAGAGCCTGCCTTCCTTTTTGGGACAGGACATCAGAAAGGCTCCTAATAAAAATTAGGAGTTCTGAGACAAGATTATTCCACTGGTTTTAACAGTTATTTCAATTTTCGGGTGTTTCTTCCTCAATTCTTTGCATTTCATCTTGCTGCTGCGGGCACYGAGGTCCTGGAGCGCTCCTTGGCTGTGGAAGGTGCTCTCCAGAGGGAACAGGAGAGCCTGGGTGGCAGAGGATGCTGTGAAAGTGCTGCTGAGGGAAACCAACTCCTGCCCGAGCCCTCGTGGAAAATGCAGTGGTTTGGTACATTAAAAAAAACCTCAAAGCCAACAAACCACGGGTGTCCATGTCTCCCTGAGTGTGAGGTGGTTCTGTGGCCTGGCCACGGCCASGCAGGGATGGAGCTCTCTCTGCTGGGAGGATGGGAAAGGGCAGCCTGGCCGGGAGGAGAGGGTAGCAGCACCAGGGGTTGTGTTTGTGCTGCCTTGCCGGGGTCAGAGGCTGCTCTGGCTGCACCCATGAGCCCTGCTGTTATCTCAGGGAGCTGAGCTGTGAGGCTGTCCCTGGTGGAGGCTGAGGTTGGACCACTGAGCCCTGCAGATCCCCGTCACCATGATGGCCTGGCTGTGGTTTTCTTCTTCTTGCAGAAGAAGTGTGCTCAGCCCCTCCATAACCCTTCTGTACTTTTCAGCCGATTGTGAAGGTTTCTGGCGTTCCTTCTGTCGCAGAACGGGCAGGATGCTCCTTTTTGTGTGCTGCTGGGATTAATCTAGCCAGAAACTTGAGCTCAGGTTTTTCTGCTTTGTCACTAGTGGAGTGTAAAGTCTGTTAATGAAAAAGATCCCACCCGCCCCCAAAACCCCAGGTCACCGCTGTCTCTGGCTCGCTCTCCTCCTTTGTCACCAGAGAAGCAAGGTTCACCAGCTCTCCCCACATGCTTCAGCCCCCACCCACCACCTCTGGGCTCACTCCGATGTGGGGGCGTCCCAGTAGTCCCTGGAATCCAAAATTGGATGCTRCACCCAGATACAGCCTCCCCAAGTCCAAGCAGAGGGGATAATCCCCTGCCAGGCCTTGCATGTGACACTCATCAGCTCTGTCCTGAGAGGAGCCGCAGGGCGGGTGTGGAGTCATCGTGCCCCAAAGTGGCCCAGCCTGTCCAGGAGGAGGGGCTGAGGACGTGGGGCAGGGGCCGCAGAAATAAGGGGGGAAGGGTGGGGAGAGCCGTGGGATCGCRGCCAGTCCGGAGAGGCACGGAGTGSAGCGGCAATTTCGGGAGAGAAGGAGCTCTGAAGGACCAGGAAAGGCTCCTCAGCTTCCTGCGAAGCCCTGAGGGAGATGGAGGTGAGGCTGGAGGCAGAGGCTGCGATGGAGCGCGGGCAGAGCCGCTGKGAGCCCTGCTGGGAGCTGGGGCTGTGCTGCCCTGGGGCGCTCTGGCACCATGAGAAGGGGGTGCAGATCCCTCTGCAGAGCTCCGGGCATCTCAGGAGCCTCCTGCTCCGGTGGCAGAGGGGGACACTGCAATGGGATGGCAGCCTGCGGGGCTCGGCAGGGACAGGCTCGGGGCTCATCCCCGCAGCCCCCGGGCTCTGGGGTGCAGGGAAGGAGCAGGAAACCTCCGGGGTCACTGGATCAGTGCTGGATGCCCAGCCTGTGCTGGTGGGGCAGCTGAGGGAGAAGAGTCTCGTCCTTTCTGCYGAGAGAGGCTGAGGATTGAGCCTGCTTTGTTCCSTGGCACCTSTCAGYACGGTTTTTGCYCTCTYCTCTCRAAGGAATGCCCAACTTTGCCTTGTCAGGTCCATGCCTGGTGCTGCCTGAAGGGTCAGTSAGGGCAGAGAATCTCTAACCTGGCATTTCCACCTGGCTGTGGCTGTGACCGGAGCAGCCTCCTTCTCCGGGACCCTGGCAGGGTGTGCAGCACCCAAAGGTCCTGTAATTACACACAACTCKTGCAAAGTGCCCATCTCGCTCCTTCATGCYGGCAYTGAAACCCAGGGAAAAGCCCAGACARTAATTCTGCTGGTGAAACCCATAACAAACGTGTGTTCCAAGCAGGCCAGAGGCGTTTGGCACCGACAGAGGAAATGTTCTGCTCRGCAGTGARACCACCCCAAAGGAGGGTGAGYGGGAGGCTGGGATGGAGATCCCAGAGATCCCTTCCCACCTCTGTGCTCTCCTGGCAGGAGGAGAGGTGATGGGGCTGGAAAATGGGGTTAAAGGGGCCCAAATGGACTGATTGTCATTGTGGAGGGCTGATTGTCATCCCTGCCCAGGGGACAGCTGTGCATTCCATGYGTGGAGAACTCGTGGGCTGGACATTGTCCTGGATGTACCCCAATTGTGGGTCTGGGAATGGGATGGGGTGCAGGGGCTTGGCTGGTTCCTGAGGAGCTGCAGCTTTGAGCAGGAGCTGGGAGCTCCTCCACGCTGGCTGCCTGTGCCCAGGGACTCTCAGCCGAGCAGCAGKGCCCCTGGTTTAGGGTTGGGTGGTGGGCAGTGTGGCCAGCAGGGAATGGTCAGTCTGGGCTGGAGGGGGTGGCCATGCCCGGCCGGACTCTGGGCAGGGCCCCTGTTGGGCACTGAGCTGGACACTGCTGCAGGGAATGCTCTGCACTGTGCTGGTCACCTGGGGGTGGACACAGCTCTGGTGACTTGTGTGAGCCCAAGGCTGGCTGCAGGAGGTGGGGACTGTGGTTTTGGCTGTTTTTCTGTGTTCCTACCCCATTTTCACACCCCAGCCCAGGTCTATCAGCGCTCACTGAAAGCCACAGGAATGCTCAGTGGCTGATMYTTCCCTCTCTGYCACARAGGCTTCCAYCTCTTGGGACACCAGCAGGACCTGCTTCTGTCCCTGCTGGTCTGCCAGTGCTCCCTGTGACATCTGCTGGCTCCGTGGCACAGCTTGTCACCAGTCACGGTGTGCCACCATRGTGTCYGGGTGACACYGGGGTGGGCAGSAGAGCCCTCAGCATGGAGGTGACATTCAGCGTGTGGGAAACCTGAGTGCCACGGCTCAAGAGCAGGGAGAGGAGCAAACTCCTCCCAAAATGTGCAGGAGCCCCAGAAACCACAGGTCYGTGAGTGGGCTGTGCTGGYCATGGAGCATGGAAGGTCCTKGTGCACRGGTGAAGGGCAGGGCTGGGGGCAGATCTGAGGGAGAAGGACCACGGGACAGGATTTGGCAGGGATYTGATGCCTCTCTGGRCGGGGAATGTGACCCAAGGGACAGAAGCTCTTTCCTAAGTGACAAGATCAACAAGAGGACGCAACTGGTGTGAAACTCCTGTGGGTTTGGCAACAAGAAAACAGTGCTGAGGATCACCTTGTTCCATCTGGCATCTCCTGATCCCCGAGCAGGCCTGGCTTGCCCATCCCCTGTAATCCACAGGGGTTATTTCAGCCGTGTGCTCAGTCTGTGATGCCCTCAGGCATGGCCTGCAATGTCCCTCTGTGTGCACTGAGCTGGGTGAGGAGGCGGCTGCTGCAGCTCCTGCCCTCCCACCGTCCTTCCCACCTTCCTTCMSTGCTCAGGGTGAGGGGCTGKGGCACTAAAATCATCTGAAAGGGATGATGTGCAGCCCAGCCTGCAGCCGTGGGGCTGGGCAGCTGGGCAGGACCATGGAGCTCAGGTTCAGGGCTGTGGTTTGTCTGTGGGATCACGGAGCACTGTGACCTGTCCTCCCTCAGCCATCACAGCAGCTTTGTCCCAGCGCATCCCATCTCACCTGCACGGGCAGGTGGAGGCCCTGAGGGGCTGGTGGAGGGTTTGAACGGGAACAAGGTTTGGTTTGGTGCTGTTTCCCTGTGTGAGAGGAATTTCCTGCAGCCCACACGGTGCCCTGCAGTGTGTGGGTGCTGCCTTTGCCCTCAGCAGCCCAGGGAAGCTTTCTGTGCCATGAGGCTACTGAGAAAATGCATTCGGCGAGGCAGAGAGGCATCTTTGGCTCCTGCAGCAGGATCATCAAGGAAATGGACTTGGCTGGAGCTGTCCTGGAGCCCGGAATGCCCTGGGCTGGGCGCTCTGGGCAGCAGGGCAGTCCAGGAGCGCGTCGCTCCATCCAGAGCAGGGATGGGGCAGGGAAGCTCCTGCACGATGGAGCTCTGGCACGGCCCCTCCTGTTTGGGGGAGGATTCTCTCCCTGAAACGCTTTTCCCTGAAAGCCTAAGGATTCTCCTGGAAGCGCCCCGGTGCTTTTCCCAGGCAGGGGAAGGTGGGAGGCCTCTTGTCCCACGCTGCAGTGAGAACTGGGCTAAACGGGAATGGTCAGCAAGGGAGGCTTGGGGTGGGTTCCAGACCCGCTGCCCGCTGCAGCGTCAGGCTGTGGCCGTGCTGTCACCRTGCTGGGGTCGGACAGGGTTCCYTGTGCCCCCGGAGCASCCGCAGCCCCTCTCAGCCCGCCCCGTTATCCCGCAGGTGCCGCGGGCGGCCGGGATGTGGCTGCTGCTGGGAGCGCTGTGCCTGGCCCCGGGGCTGCGAGGAGGCGGAGCCGGGGTTGAAGCTTTCCGCAACCCCGAGACGTTCATGAACATCGTAAGTGCCGGGAGGGCACCGCGCTGCCCCGCGGCTGTGCCCGCCCTTCTTCCCGAGGGACCAGCTGGGCTCAGCCTGTCCCTGACATCTTCCTTCGCCTGGCCTCATCGGGGGGCTCGGCGCCCCAAAATCTCCCGCATTTGCCCGGCTGTCGCTCCCCTGTGCCCCCAGCTCCAGCTCGGTCTGTCCCCGCTCTGCCTGGGATCCCTTCGGGCGGAGGCGACAGCGGGCAGCGCGGGTGGAGCCGAGGAACGCACAGGGCACCGGGTCACCCTCTGCCCTTGCCCCGCTGTCCCCGCAGAGCCAGAAGATCACTTTCCACGGCTATGCCAGCGAGTTGTACGAGGTGATGACGGAGGACGGGTACTTCCTGACCGTCAACCGCATTCCCCGCGGCAGGAGGGACCGTAGGCAGTCAGGTGGGCACCAGATGTGAGCCTGTCCCCTGCCAGGGCCAACAGGAATCCGTGCGAGTGTCTGTGCCTTCAGGCATGGTTTGGGCAGCGGGAAGTGGGGATGAGGAGATTTTTCCTGGCTGCTTTGAGCTGCCCCTGGGGATTCAGGAGCTCAGCACCAACTTTTGCTGCATCTGACACAGCAAGCCCCAGGGGCTCCTTCCCTGCAGGAAATCCCTGGTCCAAGGTCCAGACTCGGCCTGGGATGGCAAAAGCCCCCCAAACACATAAATGCACTGGCAAAGTCAGGGAAATACAGGGAGAAGAGAATGAATAATGTGCAGCCTGTTGCAAACAGTATCAAGGTGCATGTGGGTTTTTTTATTTCTATATGGGAAGGGCATCCTTTTCTGTCAGCTACCCGAAATGTCCTCTTCCAGGATCCGGGACCCCCGTGCTGATAGTGCATGGGTTTTGTCAGGATGGTGGTGACTGGGTGGACAATTTCCCTGACAACAGCCTGGCCTTCATCCTGGCGGATGCCGGATACGACGTCTGGCTCGGGAACAACCGGGGCAACAGCTGGTCCCGCCGGCACCAAAACCTGTCTGTTGACTCTGTGGAGTTCTGGGATTTCAGGTGACAGGGCCAGCAGGGGCTGGGTTGGGCTGCTGGGCTGTCTGTGCCCATCTCCTGGTGTCCACGGGAGGCTGGGAGGTGGGAATCTCCTCCAGGTTCTTCCTTTGCTGCGCAGCTTCCACGAGATGGCCATGTACGACCTCCCGGCCATGGTGGGCTTCATCCTGATGCAAACTGAGCAGGAGAAGCTGTTCTATGTTGGGCATGCGCAGGGCAACACCCTGGGTGAGTGAGGAGGAGGGAGGAGAGGGCAGTGGGTGGGCGTGGGACACCAGGATGCCTTGGGAAGGACCCTTCAATGTCCATCCCAAACTGGAGGCTGCATGGGTGGGTTTTCCCCATCCTCCCCATCTATCCCAGGCTGTGCTGGCATCCAGGAACGTGTTTGCCTCAAACCCTGCACYTCACACACAGTCCCTGGGCTTCTTGCTGTGACTCTGTGCTGCTTTTCAGGTTTCATAGCATTTTCCAGCTTGCCTCACCTGGCCAAGAAAATCAAACTCTTCTTTGCCCTGGCTCCGGTGTCCACTCTCCGCTATGCCCGGGGCCCCGTGTTACGGACTGCCTTTCTACCCGAAAGTGTTCTCAAGGTACAGGAGGTGTTTATGCACTGTTAATCCTGAAATCCAGGGAAGAATTTCAGCAACTCTGGACCCTCTGCATTGTCACTGTGTGCTGATCCCACGCCTGCAGAGGGCTTTGGAGCTCCTAACATCATTTCTAACCTTTCCTCGTACTCTTTAAGGAAAAGTATGGAAGCAGAGAGCTGGTTCTGGTGAAGAGGAAGGATAGAGATGCCCTGGTTGTGAAGTGCAGCAGGCGCGTGCCAGCGGAACGGTGTGCCATAGAGCTCTTTCTTGCCGGAGGATTTGACAGGGAGAACTTGAATGTGGTGGGTGCACCAGACTCTCCATCCAGGTCACAGCCCTCTCTGGTTTTCCTAGACAAATGGAGATAGTTAATGAGRCACAAAAATRAGCATAAMCCSCCAAAGCAAAGTGTAAAAGGCAGTTGTTATTTGGACATTTCCTGCARTGGTGTTGGGGTGCTAAACCTGACYSAGTCTTTRGTAAGAGACAATCACTYGTGGTCTCTAAGGCAAAGGAAACTCCTGCCTCATTTTTGGCTGGCATGCAWCAAGTATGCAGGACAAAATAACCAAAAAATGATTGGACCAGTTGTATTTCCATTCTAAAATGTTGATTAAGTGGCTTAACTTTARAAGCTACTTCTGGCTCTGAGCAGAATAAAGCTACTAAAGAATCAGGAGTGTAAAAGTTTTCTATTGCAGTTWTAAGACAGAATGTTTAAGGGTTTTTGCCTAGACAGATTTCCACTGTTCCCAACTCACTTAGWAAATGYTTTCTTTTTCCTGTAGAGCCGCCTGGATGTGTATCTATCTCATTTTCCAGACTAYACGTCAGTAAAAAACCTTCTGCACTGGGGACAGGTAGAGACTCTGATTTTATAACTRCTTTAACTTTWCTTTCTTTTAACCTGAGAACATGGTATTTGCAAATACTGCTTCTTTCACCCTGGAGACAGGGAAGGAGGTAGAATCAAAACTACGAGATARAAGGGATTTTTAAACTGCTGCACCAAGGTGTCYTAAAAGCTGTCCAGGGGGGCTGGTCCAGGCTATTTCCTGGATTAAGCCTTGGCCTCTGCCTTCCAGACTGCTAAAACGGGCCACTTCAGGCAGTTTGACTATGGGCCGAGGAACCAGGAGAAGTACAACCAGGTAAATGGGATGGGGCTGGCTGGAATCAGGATGGGGGTCACTCCCCATCCATCAGAGCCCACAAATAACAGGGATGTTCCTCCCCTTCCCAGCCCACCCCACCCTTTTACAAGATCGAAGACATGAAGGTGCCCGTGGCCCTGTGGAGTGGGGGGAGAGACTGGGTGAGTCCCCCTGAGGAGGTCCATCGTCTGGTGCCTCGCTTTTCCCGACTTGTCCACAAAGAACACTTCCCTGAGTGGAACCACTTCGACTACCACTGGGGCTTGAATGCCCCTCAGCGGCTGTACATGCAGATGGTGACCCTGATGAAGGAAAACCCATGAACCCATCCCCAAATCCATCCCTTAATCCATTTATGAATCTATCCATGAATCCATTCCTGAATCCATCCACAAATCCATACACGAGTCTATGCATGAATCTCTCCATGAATYCATCCCCAAATCCATCYCTGAATCCATCCCCGAATCCATCCACGAATCCGTCCATGAATCTATTCAAGAATCTATCCATGAATCTATCCATGATTCCATCCCTGAATCCATCCATGAATCCATCCACGAATCTATTCAGGAATCTATCCATGAATCTGTCCATGAATCCATCGCCAAATCCATCCATGAATCCATCCCCAAATCCATCCATGAATCCATCCCTGAATCCATCCCTGAATCCATCCATGAATTTATCCATGAATCCATCCCTGAGTCCATGTGGGAAGCCAGCAGGAGGCTGCCTGCAGCCTCTGCAGCTGTGATCTCGGGTACTGTAGATAAGCAAATTTGAGAAACAGAGCTTTGGAATGTGAACTGTGTGTTGACATTTTACAACAAGAAGCAGACATTGTGACCAGTTAGGAGAAGGAAATAGAGCTCGTGTTATTCATGTAATGTGGAGAAAATTATAGAAGATTTTGCTTTGAAATAATAAAGTCCTGACACCTGACACCTTTCCCCCGTGTCTGTCGTGTGAGTCCGGCTGACAAATGGTTAATGATGACAAATGGTGATCCTGATGTGATAGCATCA